CCAAGCCAGGCTACCATTTTGGGTGAACGTAACGTTGTAATATAAGTTTAAGTATAAGATGCTGGCGCAGGTAGGATGTTCTGGTATTCGGGAAATTCGATGATAAGATCAAATAGAAGTGTCCAAAATGTTTTTGGGTTATTGTCGTCTCTTGGGGTAATGCTCCAAGCCAGGCTACCAGTTTGGATGCTCGTAACGTTGTGATAAATGTAGGATGGTGGTGTGGCCGTAGCGCTACTAACATGCTAATGTTTTAGATGTCTACGTACAATTATTTTATCGTCTGTTAATAACTAAATTGTCACGCCACCCCTCCGCTGCGATGTTCGTGCTGTGTCTTAATCGAAAACAGTTCGAATGGTCTACATATAAATGATCATTTTATTAACCAATGAAATAATCACTAAATTGTATAATTTCGTTGACAGGTGATTTTTTCATTATTTATAAAATACGGTACAATCTTCAAGTATTACATGTGCGGGCAAAAGCTGCTAACTATCTTATGTGAAGTCGGGTCATATCTTCTTCACGATTTTGTTTGATTGTTTAGTCAAACCTATGGCTTACGTTTCAAGTATAATTTATTGATTGACGATTGATTAAGTCTGCGCTGAATCAATCGTCAGAACAGAACTCCTGAAGATGTCAATTACTCGTGTCGGCGAAATATCGAGAAGAAAAATCTCCAGACGATGACCAACAACTTCAAAAGCCAGCTGTATAAAATTATTATTCATAGGCAGATAGGATTATAAACGATGTTTCTCAAGCAAGTTCAAAGGTTGCAGGAGATGACAGGACACTATAAAACAAGAAAGTTAAATAAATATTTGCCGGTCCGAAAGTCTGCAGTTTTTGTGGAAAACGTATTTGAAAGTACAAGCAAAGGCCACTTTGGTCCTGGTAAATCACGCAAAGAAATACGACAATGCAACGCTTTATTCAATCAGGTGGTAACTAACAGCATCAATGTTTTATTTATTTTTGAATTTTTTGCTAATATTTTGCCTACTGTTTGTAAGATTACATTAAATGTGATTTAAGGTGTTTATATTACAGTCAGCGTGTAGTAGTTGTGTGTTCGCTATCTATTGTAACTATGTATTTAGTCAATCGATGTCTAGAGAAAGTTAGCTCATCTTATGTGGTTTGTGTAGCAAATTTTAAAGGATCAGTTACTGCATCATTATCATTTGCAGCGGGTACAAGCCTTGCATTTATAACAGTGACTTCGACAGAAAAGTGCTACAGAGCCTAATTTTTTGCATCATCATCACACGTACCTTCACTCTTTCCTATCCTGAGCTAATCTTCGCATTTCACTAAAACTAGAACAACCCATATCCTTAACTATTTGCGAACAGTAATCTAACCTAGGTCTACCTCTCCCCTCCTAACTCCTGTTTCTGCCTCTAATATGTCTCTGACTAGACCTTCATGCCTGAGAAGGTGTCCTGCCAACCTATCTCGCCTATTTTTTATACCTCTTCATTTCTAACCTTTTCTACCTACGTTATCCACATCATTCGCGGGTAACACCACATTTCGAACGCTTCTAACCTTTTCTTTTCCGCCGCGCCCGCTGTCTATGTTTCGCACCCGTACAACGCCGTGCTCCAAACCTACACCTTTAACAACCTTTTTCGAATTTCTATATTATATCTATCTATTATATTAATCGAACGAAATAATGGAATACTGAAATATTAATCTGAACAAGTTTATTTCAATATTCAGGGCAGTTATTGGCATTTAACCCCAAAATATGATGTGATTATAATCATTAGATGTAGGAAGTTTTAAGCTTAACTTTACAATAATCTCAATCTTTGAAGGTCGAGTTTAGCGTAAAAATCCCAGTCAGCGGCAAATGATTTGCATAGAGGGTAACCTACAACTCGTCGGTGTTTTCTTTAATGGACTTTAAATGAGCTCTTTGCGTGTTTGAAATGGCTACCAGTTCCGCATAATGTTAAAATAAACCTTTTGGTCATTCTAGGTTCGCCCGAAACATTTTCGGCCTCTAATGAATGACAGAAAATAAATACGATTGTTTATTAGCGGCGCCTGACCGATCTAGTAATCCTATGACATCGCTTCCGCTAATAAAACGGATGGACTGCGTAAGAGGAAGTGAATTCAGAAATAGAAATGTAGGTGACAGTCGTTCCTTTTTTGTCCCATCTCTCTTGAAGTGTCGAGTTCCTGGCTGTTGTTTATTTTTTGTAATCGATTTAATATTTTTTCAAGTTGATAACCTAAATTGATAAATATTAGTAAGGTAAAATAATTCGGATAATAATTCCAGAAGCGGATCGCGATTTCGATCTTTTTGGATCTCATCAGCGCGTCGCAGGCAGCTCCGACAGAACACANTTTCTTTTATGGCCATAATTTGCTACTAAATCCAAGAGTATTTACCAGCAAAAGTTCAGAATTTCGTTAATTATTAAATAATGTTTCACAATACTCTGCCGGCTATCTGCTCATTTTATATTGAAGACCTAATTTAGAGACAAATTGACAAAAGGGATTTACAGTTGTAGGCCCATTCTTTTCGGGATGAGATTCGAAAAGATTTTTACAAATCCTTCCTTCGCGAGCATAGAAGTGACTTCTTTTTATTAAAGGCGACACGACCCTGCTCTATTCTCTGCTTTATATCTTTTTACTAGTCCTTCCGTCCTGACTTATCTGACTTCCTAGATATTTAAAATCAGCCGCTTCTAATTTTTTGTCTCCTATCTTTATATTCGCTCTTTCCCTACTTTTTCTTCCCTTGCATAGTAGTATTTTAGTTTTACTTTTATTTATTTTCATACAATAGTGATCTGTCAGTACCGCTTCCATTTTATTTCTTCCTAAGTCCTCGTTGTTAGATGCTAATACTGCTATATCATCTGCAAATCTAAGCATACCTACTAATCTTTTGCCCGTGTATATCTATCCCCACAGTTGTACTGTTTTTAATGATGTTCTTTAATTTTTTAAAGGGTGATATTTACGGACAAATGTTGCTTTTCATAGCAGTATTGATGTGACGAAAATCTGCATGTCGCGCATTCTTTTTGATTTCAACAACGATTTTCGCAAAATGTTCTTTATTTTGTCTTTATAATATTTACATGTAGAGCTGTAATTTAATTAGTGTTTTATGCTATCAGGGATGAACAAATGTGGCTATTAATCCACAGTAGTTGATCGTATCCTCCATCGATGTAGCTGTTGAGTTTTTATCCCTGTAAATGTACACTTACGTTGCCAATTCACGTACAGGACCGGCTTGTTATGGTTTCTTAAAAAAAAAATTGTGTTTGCGATTCTCTACTGCATCTAGTTAACACCCTCCACAGGTTTGCACTTATTTTAGAAACAGCCTGTATATCAAGTATTAAATTATCGCTTTTATCGGACAACTAATTAAAAACCCTAACGATAACTGTCTAATCAGTTAAATACAAGGCACAACGACAATTACATAATATTTTGGGTAGACAGCAACTTTTTTTGAGCGTCAAGAAGAGCTATAAATAGTTGAAACATCTCCGTAACCGCAACTCCTTTTTATAGTTAGGTAATCAAAAAATAAAAGGAAGTTGATATAATACCCGGTTATGGCTTTATTGAAAGCTTCTTATTTTGAGCAAAATTCATATTGTAGGCGTATTAAGATATACGTTTCTATTTCTAGCAGAAAGAGGAGTTTGAGAAAGCTATCAGCCTCCAGATTTCTTTCTTTTCTTTGTTTGTAAAGAACGTAATAGTAAGTATATGAAATACAGTTTAATATATTTCTAAATACATTTATATGAATTCCTATACATTTAAGGCAAAAAATAATACATTACGTTATGCCCAGAAAGTGTGTTGCCCGCATTCGAATCATTTTTTATATGCTAATAAAACACAAAGAAAGATATTGTTGTGATACTTTACCAAAAAGGCGCTATATATTATTTCTTCATTTCTCAATGTCTTTTAGAATATTCATGATGTTTTTCTAAGAAAATTCATAGGATAATGTATGTATGAAGATAGATATGAAAATACTGGTAACATAAAAGAAGAAAAATTTTTCAAAATGTTTTATAAAAAGTTGCAGGTATTAAGCGCGACTAAGTGAGACTCCATTAAATTCATAGTGTTGCGTCAGTTCAAAATTAAATTCAATAGTTCAGCAATCACGCTCAACAAGGATACTATTATTATTTTTTATAACTGCAAAAATTTTTGATCCTTTGTTTAACTTTGAAAAAAGAAAATTGATCCTACCACATATTTTTCGGCCTCATACAATACAAAAAAGGAAGAGCGAATTATGAACCATATGGTATACTATGTACGTGCTCTCTTCCTTTTCTATCATTTTCTCTAACATTACATGCGTTCCCATACTTTTTAAACCCTAATTGGTCTTCCCTTAATAATTTTTATGCCCTTTTTTCCATCCAAAACTATTGTAGTTACAATTTTTGGCGCAAGACAAGTAAAGCAAATCGTTTTAGATTTCTCGTATCCATCCGCGCCTCTATATTTTTTGAAATTACTGCTACCACGTTCCGTTTATAGTCCTCCAGCACTTTCTCTGTCTCGTTTACCTGGCCAACTAGCTTAAATGCTGAAACTTTTTGACCTGCACATTTTAACATCTTCTGTTTTTTGTTTTGGGTGTTTCATTTCCACCAGCCAGTAATGCTGGTGGGCGGGCAGTCACTCCGGGCTATGCCGGAAGGTGGGGCGGAAGGCCCTCTTCAGCCTGCTTTCAGGAATCGTGGGAATGGGTGGGTGGTGGTTTGGGTGAGAAAGACGAGGCGGACGAAATAAAGACAGAAGAGAGTGAAAGATTATCTGTGGAATATTACTGCCTCAGCATTTGCCTAAGTGATCCAAGGAAACCACAGAAAAACTTGGACCAAGGCAGACGGACCCGGAATCGAACCGGCGTCCTCCCGAATGCTAAGCAATGGTCTAGACCTCTAGGCCATGCCGCTCGGTCACCTCTCATAGCTTAGTGGTCAGAGTATTGGTGTGCAAAGCTAAAGGTCTCGGGTTCGATTCCCGGTGAGGGTGTGACAACAATTTTAACATCTCCGTACCAAACCTATATACAGCTAATACCCTAGTACTCTTTAAATTTTTTAATGCTAAGTTAATAATAGGAAAGTAGTCAGAAAAGGATGCACCCTGTCACCGCTTCTTTTTAATATATACTTCGAAGACGCGATCAACATCTTTAAAACCTGTAGGGATAGATATAGAGGGGCAAAAGATTAGTATGCATAGATTTGCAGATGATATAGTAGTATTAGCATCTAGCAAGGAGGAGTTAAAAACAGCTTTAAATAAAATAGAAGCTGTATTGACAAAACAGTATTGTCTGAAAATAAATATACTGGTGTGCAGGAGAAGAAAAAGTAGAGATAGAGTGAATATAAAGATACGTGTCGAAAGATTAAAAGAAGTGGCTGATTTTACGTATCTAGATAAATCAGGACGAAAGGAGTAGTAGTAAGCTGAGGATAGCGCAGGGTCGAGTCGCTTTCAATAAAAACAAGTCACTTCTATGCTCGCGAACGATTAATTTAGAAATTCGAAAAAGATTGTTAATTATGTATGATTGGAGCGCGACGCTGTGTGGGTGTGAAACATGGACGGTGGGTGCGGCGAGAAAGAAAAGGTTAGAAGCGTTCGAAATATGGTGTTATAGGTGAATGATGAACCGTGGACAGAGAAGGTTAGAAATGAAGAGGTTTTAGATAGAATAGGAGAACAGAGGACTCTATGGAAGTCAATAAAACATAGGCAAGATAGGTTGACAGGACACCTTCTCAGGTATGAAGGTCTAGTCAGAAATATATTAGAGGCAGAAACAGGAGTTAAGATGAGTAGAGGTAGATATAGATTAGACTACTGTTAGAAGATAGTTAAGGTTGTGGGATGTTCTAGTTTTAGGGAAATGCGAAGATTAGCTCAGAATAGAATGATGTTGGAGGTGCGTGTCTAACCAGTACTGGCGACCTTATGATGATGAAGTCATATTCTTCCCTCTTTTTGGGGTATCCTAATATATCCATTTCAGCACTGTAGTACTTTTCTAGTACATGTCCTAATTCTTGATCTGTATATAGATTCTCTAAATATTACTTCCAATCATCCACCGGTTCCTCATTTAATACTACATATTTAATCAAAAATTTTCAGGAGTAAGAGGGCAGAAGAAACAAGTATACATCTATCTTATTTTATAATCCTAACTAATATTATAAATGCGAATGTATTTGTTGTTCGCTTGCTGCCATTTCACGCCTTCACTCCACAACCGATCATCATGAAATTTTGTATACAAATTGTCATGGGTACAGAAAAGGACGTAGCGTACCATTTATCAAAAAAAAAATACTGTTCCCGAAGCATAAAAAAATTAGTTTTATGTGGTCGTCGATAAGCAAGCTCATTCAGACGTTAAATTTAATTTAAAATATGTTTAGTAAATTTAATTAATTTGTGAGTGTTTCTCTTTACATTTTTAATGATAATACATGTATATTTTTGACTTCTACAGGGAAAATACAAACGCGTTCATTCGCTTCGACAGCCACCTGGCAGCAAGCGCAGTGCTGCCAATAGTTAACCTTTTTTCGTACTATATTGGAAAATTTCATACTGAACCCACCGACCTCTATTACAGCTAGGTGACTGAAGACTGAACTTCGAACGTTTATTAATTAATAGACTTGTCATGAATTTTCGATTTCTAATAACGAATCCAGAGAACTAACCTTTGCGGTATTAAAATAATTCTATTGCTCAGTCTTCGGTAACTTTCTGATCCACTTTTAATCAACAAATCGCAAAAATTGATGCTTCCCACAAAACCAAAGCTGCATGGATGACAACAGAACATTTGTGTGTCATTTGCATAGTCACTTGTCAGTCCGTCGGTTGCTCAACTTCAATTCACGTCAGTCACATAATCCCAGGCGCAGTCAATGCTGGCAAATCTCTCACAAGATGTTTAGGTTACCTACATTATCGCCAAAACTACATATTTTTAAAAGAGACAGCTTTCAAAAGCAACTTCAAAGTCGATATACAGGTAATACACAATAATTTTTGTTGCCACTAAACGGTAGAGATTTTTGAATAAAACGTGCAAGATTTTAATGCGGCGTATTTCCTAAGCTGTGCGTCACCATTTTTTGTATATTCATTTGCAAAGATGATTCATCATAGCATCCATCTAACCACTAGGTGTTTAGTTTACTATCCATCATAAAAGTCGTCAAGGTTGTTGTTCATTAAAACACATCAAATTCAAGACTCGTTAAGATTTCCCCTGCAATAATTTACTTCAACTTTTCGAAACGTTTTCATTTATAAGGCTGCTCCACTTTTATTTCCCTTAAATTAAGTTGGGTCTTAAATCATTAAACGTGGCCCATAAAATGAAAATAAAGTCTTCAAACTCATTAAAAGTCGCATGCTTATTTATCCTGGCTCACCTAAGTGTTTTCTGCAAACCGGAACAACCACCACCGTCGACCATGTCAAAAGAGCCGTCATCGAGGAGTTATAAAATAAATCGTGGACAAGATTCTGCATCAAACAATTGTTTTCGTGTGCACTTAAAGGTCTGAATCCAACCCGTTGAGTTAATGGTGGTACGTTGCTGCAAATATATCGAGCACGACCCCATGCAAAACAGCAAGAGCCGGAAAGAGCATTTTCTGCTCCGGCGCGTGTAATTCGACGAAATTTCTCAAAGATGCTGTCAGAGGGAGAGCGCAGACGACGCTGCTAAGTTTTACGGAAGGATGCAGGCGACAGAAAGCACTTCTTTCGTGAGTGTCGTGAAAACCGCGGAAATAATTTTCTTTGAGCCAAGGAAAGAACGAGTTGACGAGAGCTGCCGGCAGTGCGATGCTACGTGGCGATTTTTACTGCCTCACCGGTACTATTACGTATATCAAATGAACGTAATGAAAAAAAAAAGACAAAACTACCGTAAATATTTTCGTCGCAATAAAAATTTAAGCGAATTCTTTAAATGACCCGAAGTTTCTTTTTACGACTCATAAACCAAAAGCTGGAGAAGAGGAAACATATTAAAAGTCCATGGTGTTGTAACAAAGGTTTCATTAGGTACTTTAATAGCTTGACACTATTGGTTGTACAGTACAAGTATTATTAACAACGAAATTCGAACCGTGCCTGGGAAACAGCTTGAAATTTTATTTATTAGCATCACTTGGTCAGTGAAGGGACTAGTAATAGAGGAGAGAGTCTGGTCATCCGCTATGGATTATTTCAGAGATCCGTATTATAACCTGGTTCATGAATACTTCAAAAGAATCGAGATCTACTCAAATATACTGAAGTCCGTAACAAATAATGAGAAGCCGAAAGTCATTAGTCCCCTTGGACACGACACGGATTGTCGTTGTGCGTCTATCTAGCCAAATCGCCGGATACACAGTGGATCACAGGATCTAATGGGAACTTGTACCAATACCTATTTTTATATTGCATTTAAATACTTTTTTGAGATAAGCATTTTGTATTTTATTTAAAATACTTTTCCAAACGTATTTCCTATTTGTAAAATACAAAATACATTTTTGTCTTTAAAAGTTTTGCTAGTATTACGATCAAACGTTATACAAAATGATGAATGAAAGTTGCTCACATTGGTCATTGAAGGTATTAGAAGCTTAAAAAGGAAACAAAGGGACATTCCGTGAATGCTTTTTTGTTCAAAGAACAATCTGAACACGGGTCAAAAAATGTAACGCCCAGTATTTGGCAAAAACTTATTCCACCCTGTATTTCTCATTTGAATACACAACGTGTCAACCACTGGTTACCGCTGGCTACAGTGGCTCTTGCTTAAACCATCTTTTTTGACCTGTCACAAATTCAGGATATCGATCGGCTTCCTCTTAAGGTAGTGAGATCATGCTGACGAACGCATCTCAATTATCAGTTGCAGTCGGGACATTTTTGTACTTGTCCACACACAGCGCTGTTGCCTCTTGTCTACTCTGCACGTGTTGCTACTAATATCTTTTCAAAATTCGGAGGAAAAAACTTTTGAGTAAACCATCGAACATTATCGTACTCGCTCACTAACATAATTGTTGTTGTTGTTGTATGTTATATTATGTTAGATCCAACGAAATAAATAATTTAATTTTAATTATTAATTACACCATCCTCATTCTCAATATTACGTGTGGATATTCATCTCTGTCTCACACATTCTAATTCTTTAACAGAAAAGAGCCCAAAAAATTGTAAACTCCTTGGAAATGGATAATCTAAAATATTAGATCGATATTGCTTTCCGGGTTCAGTGTTGTAGTTCATGGAATTTTAAAGTTCCAAATTGATATCAGCACCTGCCAAATCACCACGTATCGTATTTTTAGCAACAAACAACAAAATTCTGTGAATTACGACGAAACAATATCGAATTGTTTTAGGTCAGCTCCGTCAAACTGAAAACACAAGATATTGTAGTGTGCTAATAAATGCCTATAATCCAAAATTTTTAGAGAACGATTCCAAGAACTTCACTTATTAGATGAACCCAAAACTAAAGAAACTACGGATTCGATTTCTTTCTCTTATGACAATCTGTAAAAGATCGGAAACAAAAGTGGTTGTAAATATTTTGATATAAAATGATTGATGTTGATTTTACTTCAATAAAATTATTTGCAACCCTATTTTGACTCTGATCTTTCACAGCAAACAAACTATTTTGACATCAGTTTCTTTTTTTCCAATCAAAGCAGGTGACCAAGGTTAATGCGGAAGCATATAACATAAAGAACAACCGTACCGTACCGTACAAGTTATTATTTGCCATTTTTTGTGCAACACTGGTTTCATTAACAGTATAACCCCCGAATGTCTTCAATACTATCAAACGTGTAAAACATAGTTAAATTTCAATACTTTTACTTTATTTTTCAAAATATATCCAATTAGTTCTAAATACCTACCTACTTACCAGGTATGACGATAAGCTTTCTTATTTTTTAAGAATTGTTTGGTAATTTAGTCAA